ATTTTAAAGCCTATGTCTGATAGTTTCAGTAACTCATTGCTTAGTGACATGTGTGATGCCTGAAGTTTCTACTCTTGTTTCTTTATGTGACTTTATTTTCTTAAAAGCTACTAATGTTTTTTGGTGCACTATATGTTATATATTCAAAAAGTCTCGTGGAAATAATGTGAGGCCTGAGATTCTGCATCTTCCTTCTTACACAGTTGTTTCTGCCAGGTACTGGCTACATTAGCAATCTGGAATTCTCTTCTGGAAGCTTGATGATTAAGAAAAATAGAAAGAAACTTAGAGGAGAGTCCCTTAGAGATCCTACCTATATCTACACACTTGTTCTCAGAAACTGGGTGCTGTTCATTGGTTCAGCATAAGTGGGAACACCCATTGCTTGCTTCTAGACTCTACTTCTGCATTCTAGAGTTTCCTTGAGTGGTCAGGAAGCCTGATGAGTCCTCAACCCCTTGACTAACTCACCCTCAACAATAGCTCCTACCAAGGGCAAAATGGCTCCAAATTCCACATGCACAACATTCCCTGGGCATGTCTTTTCTTGCATCCTAAGCCTCCTTATTTTTCAAAGTCTTTTAGCAATAGTATATCTTTAAAGAGAATATATGTCTGGCTTCCCTGCTTATCCTCACCAGCCCAAATTGCCTAGTTCATCATGACTAAAAGCAGAAGGCAAGCCAGTGATATGTTTCTTACCTAATAGTAAGAAAAGACTCTAAGAGTCTCCTTCCTTTAATATGTCAATTTAACCAGCCAAAGGAAGTTATCAGGCCTAACTTACTATCCTCACTGGTCCTGATGCAATTGGATCCTTACTCAATTATACCATTATAGCATATTGCTCTGAGCGACTTTTCTGTTAGAAGCATATGGTGTTTTTAGTCCTACTGTTGATTCTCTTCCACTGGACTTGTTTAAAACACGCTCGTTTTCAATTTAGAGTCTGGGTTGTACATGCATTACATTCTGAATTGCCTGGCCAGCTTCCTTAGGAGACGAAATTATGAACTGGACACTTAGATTTGCATAAATTTTCCAGGATTTATTTTCAGAATTAACCAGCAACAAGTTATACAAGATTGGAGAAAGGAAATGCACCTGCCTTAGCAGACTAGAAATCACAGACTTTCCTTTCCCTTGGGGACTGCTATCACAAAGCAAAAGAATGAACGGTTGGGGATTCTTGCTTGAAAAGACAACTCTAAACTTAATGAAACTACGCCAAGGGTCCTTCTGTGTTTTTAGTGACAGCTCACAAACTATGAGCCCAGTTCCTATATACACAGCCCCCCAGGATGGATTTATTAGACCTTCATGGAACTACCAAAACAAAAAAAGGAAAGAAATTAGTTTAAGAAAGTTAGAAAAGACGGGCGTGGTGGAGCACGCCTTTAATTCCAGCACGCAGGGAGGCAGAAGCACTCGGATCTCTGTGAGTTTGAGGTCAGCCTGGTCTACAGAGTGAGTTCCAGGATAGTCAGAACTATCCTGGAAGGAGAAACCATGTCTCAAAAAAAAAAAAACAGAAGAATAAAATAAAGAAAACGAAACAAAACAAGAAAACCGAAAACCAAAGGCAAAAAAGTGGTTAAAAAAGAGATCCTTTTACTTATAAAATTTGTTATTTCTAGTTATATGGACTACTTCTAAGTATGTGTGTGTGTGTGTGTGTGTGTGTGTGTGTGTGCATGTGTGTGCATGTGTGGGTGTAGTTGCCTATGTGTTAGTGCATATGTATGTCCATTTTCACATGGAGGCCAGAAGTCACCCACAAATATACACACACACTTTACCAGCTCAGCTATACCCTTACCCCAATGTGTCTATGCTGAATGCTCTCTTTATTTTGAAAACCTTGGTACATGTACAGAAATGCCTTTTACTTTTCTATGATCTGAAATAATGCCTCATTTCATGGTCAGAGCATCTGGTCCAGATGTAGAAGCAGTTCTTAACGGGGCACTGAGTTCAACTTTCTGGGATGGGCTGGTGGGGCACACCTAGGCTGGCTCTCCCCTTCTGTTGTTCCTGCTCTATTTGTCTGTATCATGTTTGTCATAATGTGATATATACTGTGTGTATTCTACTTTGGAACACCCTTATCCGAGATCACAGTCCACTAACTCCTACACTTATCTACCAACGATATGTAATTCTGCCTCACCGGCACGTGATCTCATTGTCTTGGGAAGTGAGAGAATATAGTAGAATATAGATGGTGGGGGCCTCCATCTATACAGCTATTAGGAAGGTGTCATCTCAGTGGAGTGATGTTTTCCAATGCCGCAACTGTTTGCTGGTCACCCATGATCTTTTTGGTTGTGAGCCTAGCCTTTAATGGCTGAGTCATCTCTCCAGCCCAGACCCATGATCTTTTTAAAAAGCTCACACACTTGCTTCAGTAAATAGGACCAGTGAACTCCTTGGTTCCCAAAACTGGAATCATTACTTTGGTTTGTCATTGATATCCTACCCTGTCTGGGAGGAGTGGATAGTCATTCATGTCTATTCAGTAAAATTTCATGCAACAATGTATGAGAAGCTCAGGTGATGACTTATTATCTGAAGAGGTTATGGGGGGAGGGTGGCAGAGGACACAGTTGCCTGTGACATGCTTAGATTTTCCTTCCACCAGTTCTGAGGACCTAGCATGGTATGCTATCTATGCATGGTGGGCAATCTATCCACTGAGTGACATCCTCAGACTGGAGAACTTTCTTAAGGTTTTCCCAAGACTACAGGGCACAGTCATAATGGACGAGATAAAGCAACCAGATGGGAGGCTGTGCCACTCTTCCAGATTTAAAGTGATGTGTGAATTAGGGATGTGACTGGCTTGAGAAGACAGAAAGGTGCCATTTGAATGACTTAAGGAGGTAGTGAAGAACTAGAGGTTCAAGCTGTGGGACACAGGTGACCTTCAGGACAAGCTGTGACCATAGGAGACTGAACTGTATGACACACTAAAAGAGCTATTTAGCCAAGTAAAGGACCTTTGTTTTGCTTTTCAGATACACTTTGAACTTTCCAGAGAAGTCAGAATGACTGTAGGCTGAATCCCAAGGTACTGGCAAGTTCATCATTTTTTCCCCTTGAATTGGTGAAAATTCTTCTGTGGACCTTAACTAATTAATTCCTGAACATCCTGGCTTACTTCAGCTCTCTTTGAATGATGTCAAACAGATGTAGGTAGAATAAGCTACACCTTGCAGTATATTTATTGGAAGGGACTTTTGCATTACTGTTGTGACCCATCGTGCTACCAGCAAAGGAGGTTTGGTGGCACTCTTACAAAGCAAGACCAAGATCATTGAGGAAGAGGCTTAGCTGGTAATTCTCCCTGAATGCCGACTCCACCATTATGTGTTGGAGCAGGTACACTCCTACTGTTTGTCAGCCATGTTCATGGGGAGAAGCTCGCTGGCCATCTGTTTTCAGACGCCTGCTTTAGCCCCAGGCTGTGTGTTCTTTATTTGCTCCCTCTACCGACTCTTGCACAAACCAAGCAAGGAAACCTTAACAAGTTTTGCTGTTATTTGGGTGCATATCAAACGAGTTAAATGTAGTGACATTGCCTCGTGGACAGATTATGAATAAGGTAAATCATAAATACAGAAGATCAGTAAATTGCCCTGTGAGCAGATGACCTGCAGGCTTGTTTGTTCCAAAAAGCAGAAGAAGGACGCACTCTTTCTAGCAGAGCTCGTGTGGCCCACTGCAGACAGGACAGATGGAGACTGAGCATGCGTGTGGCTTTGTGATTCTCTGCCATGGTCGCTGAGAGCTGTCTGGTGCCAGGCTCTGTATCAGGAATGTTATGTGGAGTAGTAGCACAGCTGAAAAAGTACGCCGTCAGTTCAGTAAGAGCATTCTTTTAATACTGAACTCCACTTCTAGAATTAGGGAAAATAGCTACCCTTCATTCTCTCACTGAAGAAGAAGCCAGAAAGCATTTATAAGAGGACAAAGGTGGAATTAAGATACCCACAGGGCAGTAATGGAGCCAGCTGATCACTCAAACTGGAAGCTACTTAATCAGCCCACTGTCCTGTCCTCTTCAGTCTCTGATCTGAGTAAGAAAAACTGTATGGGGGGAGGTTATTTGGAGGGGGTTGTTTTGTTTTTGTGTTTTTAATGAAAAGAGCAATCAAAACTGTACCCACTTTAAAAAATGACAATGAACCCAATATTTTGGTTCAGTTGAATAAAAAGAATTGCTGGATGAAACATAAAGGTATGGGTGGACAATCTACTGCCTAAAAACTAGGAAACAATGAGGAAATAAAGCCCAATAAGACTATGCAAGTCCTCCTACTGATTCTACTGTAGGAAACAACATAGATAACTAAAGTAAATCAAAACTTTTCTTAGAAAACCCACTGTCAACTGTTCTAGGCTTCAGATAAAGCATTGGAAAACATGAAATGCTTTCATTACCTTGTTCCATTTAGCTTGGACTAATTTGAATGCAATTTTTCTTGCAAGTTACCCAAATTCATTGTAAAGGCCCTGGTCTGTAGTATTTACAAGAGGCTTTGTTTCTGTCCCTTCATCTACAAGTATTAATTTAGACCTTCTGCCAGCAACTTATAGTGTTTGCTGGATATTAGGAAGGGCTATGCTAATATTGAAATTATATCTCTGCCTTCGAGATTACAGCTAAGTGTCAATGAATAGGGCAAAAGATCCAGGGACTTGAGACATCCGGTGAAAAACTACAAAACCTGAAGTCCCCTCTGGGAGAGGAAAAAGTGTCACCTACATGTTCTAAGCACGTAGAGAAGGCATATCCACACCCCTCCCAGGGAGCCAGTTCTGAAAAAAATGGAAGCTTGTTTAAATGTGTTCCTGCTTTGTGTTTGTCAGCTCTAACCTTGCATTGCCAAGGTAGAGTCCAGAGATCTCAGAAGCCAGGAGGATCAGAAAATGTTAGTGCAAGTGACCAGAACAGTACAGACAGGCAGCTGAGCTACACTGTGGCCTTTGTTGGCCATGTAACCTTGGTCTCAAGTTTGTGTTTTCCAAGAAGCATCTCATTTCAGAAAGTGAGTTTCCAGTGAAGCATTCAGAGAAGCCTGGACATGGAAAGAAAATGATTTGTTTAAGAGGTAAATACAAAGTTTTTATTTCTCCTACACAGTAATAATTTAATGTTGATAAAGACATATTGATATAAAATTATAGGACCTAGGATATGAAATTTATTTCCTACTTCTTAAAATGCTCTTATATTTATTTTAAAGATCCACACTGATATGTATAGGTGTTCAATATATAGTCATTTCATTTTTATACTGAAAAATTAAAATATGTAAACCATCAATGTTGAAAATATGCATATTTAAAATACATGCATTTATAAATTGAATTTATATATTGAAAAGAAAGAGTGGGAAAAAAGAGAGATCATAGTATAAACCTTTGCCCTAAACCAAAGCGTTGCCATACTGTCTTTCTCATGGGATATTAATTTTTTTTTTCAGAGATGTACTGCATATATGTAGGCACTGAAAGGAGAATGATGGAATAAGCCCACTGCATCCTTAACTGAAAAGAGAAATCACTACACGGTGCCGGGATATGGGAAGGCCTTCCGATTTCCACACCCCAGGTCCTCCGTTTTCTGCACCTACTACAATGTGGATTTATGTTGGCCAAAATATCACCCACGGTATCACAAGTGGAGTATAAAGTGCCATATTGGGCTACCATATGGCTACTAACCTCCGACGTTGGTAGTAACTATCAATGTAGAAATTTGAGAGCAGAATGAGCCTCGGGATAGAACCAGATCTCACTCAAGCATGTTATATAATTGGCTGTAGTGAGAAACTAAGAAAAAAAATGTCTCTGAACCAGATGGATTTGAAGTGTTCCATTATTCATAAACAGTTTTTTTTCATTTTGCAACTGTACTTCTTTCCATTCCCAAATTTTCTGCCACAGAAAATTGCTGAAGAAGGTGTGAAAAGGGACAGAAAAAAAAAACCTACCCCTCCTTCTCTGCCTTTCTAGAAGATAGCCTGCCATCCCAGCATCTGAGAAGCCAGAGGCAATGTCTGGGGCAGTTAGTTTGAGACCATAGCTGCTTCTCTGTGTTACATGTGAATATGTATATGAGAGGGGACATTCAGGGGGAGGCAGGAGGGACTTTTACTGAACGTGGCCACAGGTAATCACAGGCTTCACAAGCTGTGCTATGGTAGAATCCATTGTCGCTAAACCTTAAAATGCCTTTTCTATAGCATCTCGTTTCTGTGCTACAGCCCCAAGACTGGAGATAGGGGATGGCAAAGATATTTATTGCAGGTGGGAACCTTTCCAGTTGAATAAGACAATAAAAGATGGTATCCTCAACAATTGATAGAAGCCAAGAGATGTCAGAAAACCCTACGGGACAGGTAGCTTTGAGTTTGGTAATCAACACACAAGATGGAATATCAGAATGAGAAGAATTTTAAAAGGGCATATCTGTTGTGTAAAAGAATGGAAAAGAATGCTGCACATGTTCTGTAGACTTTAACAGGGTAATAGGAGAGTCAGACTGTGACAGCCATGACCGCATGCCATGAGAAACTATCCCATTTAAGAAGTATCCACATATCCTAAGGATGTGGAGAACACTTCTATGTAGCGCATTAGTGTAATTATTATTTAAGGGGTGCTTTGCTTTGTGTGACTCCGATGGAGAATTAATAGCAGATTTGAAGTTGGCACTATACAATGAACATGACAGATTAATCTTCTCTACGTTTTCATTCTTGAATATTTCTCATCCCAACTTCAGGTCATTACTTCAAAATTGCCAATGAATATAATTGGACACAAACCATAAACAAGACATTTGTGCCTGATGAAATTAAATTATCATCATGATAAAACAGTTTACATGGGATTGGGTGGCTGGTAAATTTTTAGAGTTCTAAAGCATTTGATATGTGTGGGCCTCTATTGTACAGAAGTCCCTGCCTTTGAATTTTTAGACAGAAGCTGGTCCGTGAAAGCCTTAGATATAACTTAAGAAAACATTATTTCCAGAAAATTGATTTGTATCTAACAGCTCCATAGACATATGTTGAAGTTCTCTCTGACATACCTCTTGAGAATAGCCACTCTTCCAGAGTAGCCTTCTAGGCTGGGCAATGGCCCACAACCTCTCTGCCATCTGAGGGATTTCCCAGGGACCTTTGCCACTCATATATTCTCCTAGTATTTACTTCCCGTGACATGTTTTAGCTCCACCATACAACATTGCTTAAAATATCTCAACCCTTTTTGGCCTGGGAGAAGCTTTAGAGACTGTCACATTTAATCTTCTCTTCCTGTGAGTAAGGGACACAGAGTGCCTTGCCCAGGGTCAAAACCTAGCTACAAAACTGGGACAGGAAACAAAGTATGCAGTCTCTTTTCAGACAATAACAGCACCATTCTACTTTGGTCTGATTTGTGACATTATCCAAGTGTTTGGGCTAGGATTTCTTTTCTGAATGATTTATAAAATCTTTGATAGCTGGGACCATCTTCCAGGGCTTTCTTTCTCTCTCACCATGTGATGCTAGAAACACTGGTAAAGAAATAGTACTTGTACTCAATGTATTGATTAAGGTTGGAGAACACACTTCTCAAATTCAGGTAGAATTCACGTAGACTAAATTAGCCACTTTAAAGTTTGCCATTCAGTGACATTTAGCACATTTTATAATGTCCCACATTCCTTATTCAGTCTCCACACATTCTTATTAACCCTAAGATACCCCCTGTATATTAAGAAGTTACTCATTGCTATCTTCATTTCTAGCCCCAGGAAATGACCAATCCACTTTCTTCCACTACAAGTATGTCTGTTCTGGACATTTCATAAAGACAGAGGCATCCACAGTATGACCTTGTGTGTCTGGTTTCTTTCACATAGTTCAATGTTTTGGATATTCAGTTATATCACAGCTTATATCACTACTTCATTTCTTTTCATAGCTAAAAAGTCTCCCTCTATATTTATATATAGTTGATTTATGTATCTATCTGTCTACTAATGGACATTTAAGATTGTTTCTCCTTTTGCCTCTTAATAGTACTCCATGAACATGTGTGTACAGGCATTTGAGTAACTATCCTCAGTTCTGTTGGATGTATCCCCAGGATGGAATTGCTGGTTCATGTGGTATTTCTAAGTTTAACTTTCCGAAGAAGTACCCATTCTTAGTACAGTGGCTGGATCATTTGTTATGAGGCATTCAACTTGAGGAAAATAAATTATAAAATACAGTGTGATTTTTATTCATGAAAACAGCCCCTTGAAATTTCAGGAAGAAATATTATACATTTAGACATTTATTAACTCTCTCTGTTTTCAGCTGATACTGATGGAATCTATAATACGACTTTCTGACAACGTACTCCATTCATAGATGCCAACAAGTTCATATCAGTGTCTGCCATTCTAATCTCCCAGCTAAATAGTTACACCACTATGCCCTTCTGTAGAGTGATGTAGGTTGTACATTACCTGTACTACTATATGCAATAAAGTTCAGGAAGATTGAAATCTTTCTGATGGAAGGAGTTATACATGCTACCCTCTCATTCACATTCATCTTGTGTAATTCAAACATCTTCATCCTTGCAGTCAATTAACAATGATATCATACTTGATATCACACACAAAAGTCCTTGAGATAGCCTTCAGAGGGATTTCCAAAGGTGTGAGATGAAATGAATGATTCTATGGATAATTGAAACTCACATGCTTGGAAAACACACACAGAAATAGCGTGGAGAGTAAGTACCACATTGTGATATAAAGAAAATCTGGCTGGGGACAATGGGGATAGAGTTTGAATGTGGTTCAGAAAAAAAAGAGGTACTAATTACAATGCAAAGAGCAAAGGGTCGAGCCTTGGAATGTGCAAAGTGGGTTCATACACCACTTAGTGCAAGGACGTTACTCTTTAGAGAAGTAAGCCTTTTTGATGATAGTTCATGTTGTCAGTTGCTTGACAATTATCATGCAAACTTGGCTTTTGGAAGATATAGGATCTTTGTTTAGGCAGAGCTGATGGAAAGTGAACCTCAGTTACTCCTGCAGGGAGGGTTAGTATGTATGGAGACTTCAAAAGCAGTACTACAGATGGATCTGAAGTAAGTTAGAGCCAAAGCAGCTGAGGTGAGATAGCAAGTCTTGGGGATAAATGCAAGATGTCATGAGAGCTGATGTGATTTGGACATTAGAGGATGGCAATGATGGATTCACAATGACTATGAGATAGTAATGGTATGAAACCAAATGACTGTTAAAACTCTTCATAGAGTTAGTTCATCCAGGGCAAGAGGGAGCAGAAGAATGGGTTGTCTACTGAGGAAAAACTCCTATGCTATATTTTCAGGACCAAGTCCATCTCTAAATGAACTTTTTCAAATAAAATATTTGAAATATTTTAATAAGATTGCATTTGGCATTTGGAAGTAAAGAGGGACATTGGATTGAAATGTAATCAAGTCCCTATGTTGGGGACATAAATTTTATGATGCCCAGGTTGAACTTGGATTATTTATTACAAATAATTCCATTCCTCAAAGTAAACAAGTTCCTTAAAAACTTTCTTTTCTTAGTTCTCCCTGTAACAAGCATCATCCTGCCAGACTAGTCCCAGAGTTGCATCAACCCCAAATAACATACAGAGAATCTATTAGTTACAATGGTGTTGGCCAATGTCCATAACTACTGATATATGTATATATATTTATATAAGGTCTTATCTTACAAAGGGTGCCAACCTCATTCATTCTCTCTTCCCAAGATCACATGGTGACTCTCTACTCTTGACTACATTTCCCATAATCCTACTTGACACCTAGTCCCACCCATCTTGCTTCCTATTGGCCAACAGTGCTTTATTTATCAACCAATAAGACAATATATACACAGCAGGACTTCCCCCATCATCTCCCCATTTCATCCCAAAGCAACAATGACAGTGGCATGACAATAGCTCTCATAAATGTTAGGAAGGGCTAGCAGAGTTCAATGAAGTGATGAGCTACAAACACTAAATACTATCTACTCTATTTGTGATCAGTAGATGTTGCATATATATAATAAAATATTCAATGCCACATTCATCTATAAAACTATTACCATGAATCAAAAATAAAATAATTCAATATATTATTTTGATAAATCAGCATTGAGGAACATTTGAATTTTTGAGGGGTGGTGGTTTTTCAAAACATAGTTCTCTATGTAACAGTCCTGGCTATCCTGAATCTCACAGAGATCTGCCTAACTCTACCTCCCTGAGATCTGGAATTAAAGGTGTGCACTGCCACACCCAGCCAACATATGAATATTATCCACCCCTTTAACATTCCACAAAAAATATCTGTGAATCTTCCATCTTGAAATCCTGATTCAAGATCCTATCTGAAATTTGGGATTAACCCTTTTCTGAAACAAGAGGGGTAATTTCTAACCTGTATAGGGTTTATGAGATTTTCTTTGTTTTTTTTTGTTTGTTTGTTTGTTTTTTTTGTTGTTTTTTCTGAGATTTTTAAAATTAGTTCTTTAGGGTGATACTTGAGGCTCCATAAAAGAAAAAAAATCAACAAGCACAGCATCACTTTGCATAATTTAACATAAAGAACAATATGCTTATTTTTGTGTCTAAGAACATGGGTGATGGAAGAGCAAGTAGTTGTGGTCTACAAGCAAAGACATACAGCCATACGTATTTAGTTATCCCCCAATTGACTGTGTCACATTTGCATGCAACATTACAAATATTGCTTAAAAGAAAAGTTCTCCAATTAGTTTCTCCTGTTTCTGAAGACAGGTTAGAAATTGTTACATAGCAGATCCATG